AGATAGACAGACAGACAGACAGATGGATAGACAGACGGATAGATAGATAGATAGATAGATAGATAGATAGATAGACAGACGGACAGATAGATAGATAGATAGACAGACAGACAGACAGACAGATAGATAGATCGATAGATGTTAGAGAAATGCAGTAATGTGTACACAGGGAGAGCAAACAACACACACAAAAGGGAAATGCTCTCACGTCTCATGTTACACTCATGTGAAATTTGCAGTGTGGATTTAGTTGTTTGATGTGATCCATGGTGAAAATGGTAACGGCAAAACAATAACAGTCGGCCTGGACATGCAAAACCTTTCTGTGTACAATTCAGGGCACAAGATGACGAAAAATTCACAAGCCACAGTAACTGATGTTACCACCTTCTACAGGAAGTGATGACTTCCGGCTGCTGCGTGACAGTTCATCAAAACCCATCTCATACGCAGCTTCCCTATCACACACACACATTCACACAGAAAGAGAAAGAGCACATCAGTTAACCAGGCAGGATTCTGGTTATCATTTATTTGCATCATCATGTCAGGTCGAAGTGGGAACACCAGCATGGAAGACAAACTGCTGCAAACACCTGAACAGGTATGGACCACAACTCACTGGAGCATATTGACGTCATTTTGGCTCTCGTCTATAGTTACGAACCACAGAGTGGACTTGGTGATGGCCAAACTAATGATTCCGTATAATGCTGCTTTGTAGGGCTACCTGTTTCTTTAGTTTCTGTCTTTACCATTTTAACACCATTTTTATCTAAATTATTTACTTGGTGAAACCAGAAAAAAAAAGTCAAATGAGTCACAACAGTGTTTAAAAATGGCACCCATACCCTGAATCATACTGTCCACATGGCTATTTTCAAATACTGTGACTATGATTCATCATTGTTTTGAATGTCTGCTTGGATTAGATGACGTAGATGGAAGCATTATGGTACTATATGTACTATGCTATATTTATAGGAGATTCTGATCTGAAAGATTATTTGAGACATACTGTATGTATCTTTTCATAGGCTGGTGTCATTACTTCTATATGCAAAGACATGAACAGTTGTGTGTGTGTATGTGTAAGGTGGGTAGAAGTTTATTTGCATATTGGTGGAAGTTTATTTGCATATTCATATAGAGAATGGGTTATTAGTGTTTTCTTTTTATCTCACTGTCACCTCCAAGTCAGATCAGTAATAGAGGAAGTCCCTAACAGAGGCCTAGAGATTTTAAGTTTGGTAAATAAATGGGTCTAAAGCTAAAAACCTTTCAATACCAGTTTCTTTCAGTTTTATTGGAACAAACTGTTTTTTTTGACTTGATAACAAGAATTCCTGCATTAATGTATTATCCTCTGTTTTACAGGAACATGGGGTGAAAAAACAGGTAAAAGGCATCATCGAAATGTATCTGGGTTCATCCATCTAACAGTTGTTGGGGCATATCAGTCACACTTCATGTCGTGGATTTACTGATTTGCAGTTCTAATGGAGAACAAAATGTTTTGCTGTGTGGAAATATATGGAACTCCGTGGCTACAAACAGTAAAACTACATTCATGCTCATTTGTGTTGTTTTTCGTCAGGTTTCACCGGCCCATGTACGTAAACTGGGGTTGACGAGGAAATTGCGCGACAGGAGGGTAGGCGACGCAGTGTGACATTGACATACCTCAAATTTTGATATGATAGCAGAAGCATGAACAAGTTTCTCCCTTTAGGATCTTAAGGAAGACGAGAACCCAGAAGAGAAAGCACGAAGACACAAGGAGCTGGAGGTATCATCAGAAAAGA